ACTGAGTAACAGAAGAGGAGCCAAGTGTGTACATACTCACTGGGCACTGATGTCAGTTTGTCATCAACAGTGGGTTACATCACCCATCTGCGGATCACAGATTTTCCAGTGGAAAACAGAACAAGATCCTTTACTTAGCAGCTACAGCTACATCTATTTGTTGGCTGACGCGAGAAAAGAGCCTAATTTACAAAATCAACTGTTCTATGACTCAGAAAAGTTATTTAAACTGTACCAAACCATGACAGGCAAGAAAACCTATATATACTCAAACCGTTCTAACAAGCTCGTTCAGACACATGTTCCAAAATAACCAATTTTCAGCTTAACTTTGCACGGACTCAGATGGTCCAAAGATGTCAAAGACCAATGACTGCACAAGCAGCTCACCTGGATTAGAAACACTCACCAGTCCCCCTACACACCACACTCACTGCCTCCAGCCCCATCAGCCCACTCAGCCTCCCTCTGTGAGCACCATTCCCTCTTGCGCACTTTCCCTGGGAGGCTGTCACAGCGACACTCCCCCTGCTGATGAGCAACTTCAATCAGCCTGGCTTTGTATGACCCGCAGTGGTCTCGGGGGAAGGCCACTTCAACAGACAAGAAGGGAGCAGGACTTCATAACTGTAATGGTGGAAATCAGGAAACCTGAGAGGTGATGAACACTCTCATTGTACAAGTAGAAAATATGAAAAAGTCCATCTCTAGAGAAAACATTCACAGAGAGAGACTGAAAGCAAAAGACACCAAGACACTTGTAAGAGGAAGAGCTAAGTCAAGAAAGGTTTTTTAAAGATGCAATTTACAGCCTCAGACATATAAGCTACTTGCATCTAAGAAATAAATAAATATGAAAACAAAACAGAGCTCCTAGAAATTTAAAATGCTTACTGAAAAAAATTTTTTAAAGGTTGGAAAATAGTAAACTCCCTCGGCAAGAATGAGAAGATGAACATGAGTAATTGGAGAAGGTCTAAAGAAAAAAAAAATCAACCTAAGAGGCGTAACATCCAAGTGGCATGTATTCCAGAGAAAAGAAACGGAAGATGATCAAAGAAGCAACAGAAGTCTCCAGTTAAAGGATGAATCTACGGACCGAAATGCCTGAAACGATAAACGAAAAAGACTAAAACCAACCCACACTGGCATAAAGTTTCAGAACACACTAAGAGATGACTCTAAAAATATCTAGAGAACAGGGGAAAAAAACCACAGGACACATACAAAGGTTCAGAAATGAAAATGGCACCCAGCTTCCCCAAACAGCAACACTGGGACTTGGAAGACAATGAATGGAGCAAATGCCTGGAAAACTCTGAATGAAAAAGTTACTTCTAACTGAGAATCTTCTGCCCAAGACAGAGCATGGGAGAAGAACAGAGACAATGTTGACACGAGGTCTCAAAAAAAAACTTCACTGTCTACGTACATTTTTGAAAAACTGTTATTAGAGACAATTTCAAACATACACAAAAGAATATGAATAGATTGCCATACATTCCACCTGCAGTTTGAATAATCAACTCAATCACTGCCTACTCCTGAAACCTCTAAAGATTTACATGCTTCACCTAAGCAAGAGTACACACTAAGAAAGAAAATGCGTAGCATCCAGGAAAAAAGAAAACTCTTAACACACAAATGAGGAAAACGGAATTCCAAGGATGACAATGTTGGAGCAGGTCGAGAGGGTAATCAATGATCAGAAAAGGACAGAAGGTGCTAGAAAGCAGTCTCCAAGAAAAACACGGGCAGATGGACTACCTATCACATTCGCTGTGCAGGAAATTATACTGAGAGGAGCTTTATAAAGCTGTTGGAGGGGTTAAGAGACTTTAAGCTGCAAATAAATTTAAACAAATAGAAAAAGATAAAGCAATCATTAAACTACAGGAAAAACAATCTACAAAAAAAGCAATCATACTGCATTACTTGGCTCAAAAGTTCAGTATCTACATGGCAATCCGAAGAGAAGTAACAAATACATTTTTAGCCAAAGACCTCATTAGAAGGCTAATGGGAGAGAAAGATACTATGTGAAAAGGCCAAAATCCTCAACAGATGTCAATATACAACATCTAAAACTGTCAGATCAGAACCCTCAAAAACTCAAAAAACAGAACCCCCAAAAAACAGAACCCCCCCAAAAATAAAACTGTCAGATCAAGAGAAATTTATAGACTCGTGCTATTTACAAAATTTGAAGGTAAAAATCAGAATGAATGGAAGGCCTACTTTTGGTTTATGTCAAGTGCACTACTTGACATTTCACCTATGAATTTTTATTGATTTGATCAAAATAAATCAAAGTTTTTAAAATACTCGAATACAGCAAAAATAGCTATTAATCTGAGTAGTATTATTACCACTCCCTGTACCTATCCGTACAGTTAAAGTATGTCATAAAAGGAGAAAAATTGCAACCTTTGGTAAACTAGTGAAAGTGGAGGCTAACTCTACAGAAAAAAATATATGAAATAAGTTACCCTATATAGAAGGATTTGCTGCCTAGTGTCATTAAGTACGTATAAAAACTACTACTTTGGTAACCAACTAAATTCCAACATATTTATAAAGATAAACCTAAGTTATTGTAAAAATAGAAATCCCTCGTATGTTGAACTACATATATAAAAGGAGTGTAAAAATTCAAATTTTTATTCATCACTCATGCTCTATGACAAACACAGTGTCAGGTACTGGGAGCCGCCTACTGTAGTGGTTTTAAAACATGGCCACCAATTCCTTGACAGTCCTCCCATGGAGCAGAGTACATGCCTGCGCCCTTGAACCTGGGCGGGCCTCTGCGACTGCCTCAATGAACGAAACCCAGCAGAAGTGAACCTGTGTGTCTGCAAGGCTCCCAAAGGCGAGACCATGCCGCTGGGCTGCTTCTCCTGGGGTACTCGCTCTGGGATCCCTCATGTAGTAGGTCCAGCCCCCCCCAAGGCCCACAGAGGGAGAGAGACACCTGGGGCCCTACCTACTGAAGACCCCAGCTTTAGACTTCGAGACGGCATCAGACCTAGGGCACAGCGAAGCCACCACACCCACTCTGGAAAGCCTCCCTGGGCTTCTTGCTGCGTGAGGAGAAGAAACCCCTGTCCTGTTCTAGCTGGGTTTGCTGTACCTGTAAACGGGCACACTCATTACTGATACGGAGACTCTGTCCTTGGTAACAGGAAAATGGTTACGACAGTTTCATAAATAACACTGATCAAAGGGTCAGCAGTCTCTCTAGAATAGGGTGTGCTGCACAACACACGACCCAGGGTCTCATGTTAAAATGCCCAGCAAAGGGCCAGCTAGAATTTACAGACGACCTACTTTGTCTCCAGCCGGATGCCACATGCTTGAAGAAATACTGAATGAGAAAACCTGAGATCAAAGGCCAGGATTAGCCATCTCTCCCGTAAGAACAGCAACATCTCCCGGTTTTGAAGGTCAAAACCATCTGAAGGTCAGCTCCTTCAGTCACTGACACCATATTACACCATCACGCTAACTCTCTCTCTTCTCCTAGCAAGAAGATGACTTTAAACCAAGAAAACAGGAGTGCTGAATTTGGAATGGCGTGCCTAAACAGAACTTGGGGGTGCAAATTACTATTTCAAATAGAAACATGGGGGTGGGGGTTCACTGATCAACAAAAACCTGGCAGTAATTTTGGCAACCAATGAGAGGAAATAAAAAACATTATACACAGTATAATCAACCAGAACTGTGCTTTCTGCAGAGCAGCTATAATGTGCCAGCACCTCACTAAGCACCTGACACGCACAGGTACACACCATAACAGTTCCACTGTTTAGGTAAGAAAAATCAAGGCTTAAGAAAACACAAAATGTACCGGTGTTTATACAGCTGACGGAAGGATGGGACAGAGCTGATGAGAGCTGGGATTTGAATACTAAACTCTAGGATGACTTACACTTCAGTCTGTCATCACTGTCACAAGTTAATTTTATTGACAAATATTGAACAGTTAAATCAGTATTACCTTTATAAAAGAGGAACTAAAATCAGAGAAAAGAGGCACATAAAAATCTTAATTTCTGTGGCTCTTCTACAAAGGAATTCCAAATACTTAAGTTAATAAATATAATAAATTCTAAATCACACAGCCACCATTTGTAAGATTAGTAATAATTTTGCTAGCATAATATTCAGATTCATTTATCAAAGAACCTTAGTATGTTACAACAGGTTTCTTTCAGTGTTCAAATGTGTATCTGAAATGGAGAAAAATGCTAAGTCCTAAAGAAAATATTACTTACCTATTTTATAGTGTAATCTGTAAGATTTTTATCTTTGTTTTTAGGTTGGATAAAAATCATGCAAAGTCTAAACTTCTAGTTGTATCAGCTGTGTGCCACAAAAATAAGAATGAATTTCTATTAAATATTCATTTCATTTCCATACACTTCATTCTAGTAAAGTTTTTTCAAATAAATATACAAAAAACTAAGTTCATCTTTTTTTCCCTCCAAATTGCTATAAACACCCTAAATCTCACTAAATCTAACATTCATCTGGTCACCTCACTTTCACTTCTTTCAAAAAAGAATGACAAATCCTGTGTTTACTATAATTCTATTAAATAAGCATTTATAATTCACCTGCTAACTTTACTGGACATCTTTACTGCAAGAGATCACAAGAAATTAGTATCATCTCTGCTTTTCAAAAACCTAAATCTGTTCAACATCTTACAGTAACCTATAATGAAAAAGAATATGAAAATGAATATATGTACGTCTATGTATGACTGAAACATTGTGCTGTAACCAGAAATTGACACAACACTGTAAACTGATTATACTTCAATTAAAAAAAAACCTAACCCTGTTTTTTTCACATGTATATGTACATGAAATTATGAACATCACAAAGCTTTAAGAACAGCAAGCCACTAGGAATTCTATGCAAGTGCTCCTCAAATTTACAACTGTTGTAAACGTGTTGCGCTAAAGTGTGAGTGGAACAGCACTGCCTACCTGCATCAGCTCTGGACCGCTGGCCAGGTGTCTTCCCGAATGGGGTCTTCATTCATCTGCATTTAAGTGAGCAGCAGAGCTGCTGGACTAGGGTGAAAATTCAACTTGAATGCTCCAATTTGAAACTTTCCATAGAATTTCAATGCTGTTGTTATTAATCCATCATCCCAAATGCCTCCTTTACAAGTTCAGCAAAAATCCGTGCAATCCTAAGTGCTCTGTAAAACAGTGAATAACAGCTCATTACTGGAGCATCACATGGGCACACCTCTCCAAGTGAGCCGTCAGACGTGACGCGCACTGCAAACATAGCGTTAGCTACAATGCACCTTGCCCAGAAGCAATCAGCTTTATCTCCTCGGACCCGGGTGCCAAGGACAGCGCAGGGCAGTGAGAGCAGAGGAGGAACTGGACCCTTCAACAAGGGAAAGTGCAGTTCCTCAGGTCGACTCAACACAGCACAGCATCCAGCCTCCCCTCCTGTATTCCAACCCATTTTGCCGGCAGACGTCAGAAAAGGGTGGATGACGTAAATGGGCCCAGCCCATCTTCTCAACAGGACACAGTCAGAGAGGTGCGGCAGGAACAGGGTGGAACAAAGCTGGAGGGAGAGGCAGCAGAGGGATCTACTCCAGGACCGGGCACGGCTAGGCGGAAGGTCAGGAAGCCAGCAGCCTTGGGCAAGAGAAGGGATTACAGCCTCTAGTGAGTTTGCAGTTCCCTTTCTGCTCCCAAACTTCCAGAAACCAGAGGGAAAGATCCAGTAACTTCGGAGGAGCCTCAAAGAAATTTCCATACTCATACAGAAAAGTTAAGTCATCTTATGGAAGCAGTTTATCATTGAAACCAAATTTGGTTCCAGTTTACATCCACGTAGTAAAACACAGAGACATTCTCATAGAACACAAATTATCTCCCACAAGTTTCACTGAACCACATGACTACGTTCAGTTCTCCTGTATAGTCATCATGTCTACAACGTACAGCCACAGGCTCACAAGTTTAAGAACTGAAAGGACTGCTGAAGGGAGGAGGATACAGCTCAAGTGGTAGAGTGCATGCCTAGCCTGCACAAGGTCCTAGGTTCAATCCCCAGTATCTCCTCTAAAAATAAATAAATAGAAAGGAATGCTGAATTAATTCTCTAGACTAAAAAGTAACAAAACAGGTAAAATCATTAAAAAGCCTAAGTAGCAAGGGAGAGAAGAATCAGTTTAACTGGTAAGAACTCTTAACTACATAAAACTTACTATCGAAGGAAGACAGGTTTAAATACAAATGGATTTTGTAATAAACTCATTCAATGAAACTCACTAAGTGTCTACTGTTTGAAGCTCAGGCAGAAGGGGAGAAGCAGTACACAAGCGAGGAAGGAAAACAAACAGTATTTCAGGTGCCAGTAAGTCACACAGGCACCCCTCAGAGACACCGCGACAGAGTAAACACTGCCGTCACGTGAGTCACACTCGTTTCTGGGTTTCCAGTGCATTTGAGAGTCATGTTTACACCCACTGCAGTCTTTTACATGCAACAAGAGCATTATGCTGCAAAACCTCTGCACATGCCTTGATTAAAAATACTTCATTGCTAAACACGCTAACTATCACCTGACAATGCCAGACTGCCACAATCTTCAAAAACAGGAGGCTGCCTGTGCTGAACGGGGCAGCCCCTTTTCTGAAGGTAACTCTTCCCACGCCAGGTTCCAAGTGCTCCTCCTGGGAGCTACACCAGCCTGCCTCCCCGTGCCAGCGAGCCGAGGAGACCAAGCCTAGGCTGCCACGACAACGAGGACGGTGCCCCAACCTCCCCTAAGAGTCCACCCGACAGCCACGGAAGCCTTGCGCTGCTCGGCCCGTGTCGGCCCGTGTCGGCCCGTGTCAGCCCGTGTCAGCCCCAGAACCCTCAGCCGCCCGTTCCGGTCCTCCCACCCTGACTCACCTTCCCCTGTGGGAACCCTGAGGCCCCTGCCCCCACCTGCCCAAACCTCTCCCCCGACTTCGGAAAGAGCAGCCAGCCAGAAGAAAACACCCATGTGCGGGCCCCGCTGCCCCACAGCTCTCTCCAAGCTGCTGTTCATGTTCCCCACTGTCTACACCACACAATCGTCCCTACCCCGGCACCCCGACGTGGAGGCGCACGCCACAGCACTAGCAGGAACAGGCAGCCTTCCTGTCGCAGCCATCTCTTCATCCTCCTGCACACACTTTGGAAGATGTGGGTTCCTGGTTTGCTTCTTTTCCGCCACTGTTCTTATCACATTCTTGGCAACATGTGACCCTTTGAACAACCTGTCCCCTTGGTTTTCCCACATCCTCACTTCAAACTACCTACCCAACTCCAGCCCCCCCATCTCCACAGTCACAACCTCAACCTTCTCATCACCAACGCCACGCCTTTAGAATCTTTCGTTTCAAGCATCTCACACTCAAAACCGCCTCTGAGCGTTCTACTTTTCTTACCTTAAAACTCCCACTCCAACAATTCTTTGATGCAACCACTACCTCCAAACTATGGCTTGACCTTCATCTTCCTAGGGGACTAACTGTTCTCATGAACTCAGCTTAAATTCCACAGACGGCCAACCACTATAATGACTCCCTTGCTTTTCTGTCTTTTTTTTTTTTTTTGGCAAAACCTTTAATCCAATTCCTTGCCTGCATTTTAAGCTATTAAGCATTGCTGAAAAAACTCAGATTTATAATCTTGTATATTAAATGGGCATTCGACAATATTACATCCTCCCTCGGCAGAAAAGCTTGCTTTTTGCTGTAACGTTAGACGGAAGTAAACAAAACAGAGCTACTCATCTTTCCACCACCAAGTTCACTGGCTGACTGGTACCCTCTGCTACTGTAGTGACAAATGAACTGTGTTTAAATTCAACCCTTTCACTTGTTTTACCCATCCCATCTCTATATTTTAAATCAATTTCTCTCTCACCACTAAAATACTCTCATACAATACATATAGTATTTCCTGAGTTTAAAAACATCCAGTGACTCTGCTCCTTTCCTCTGCCTCTCTTTACAACGCTACTTTAAAAACTGAATTATATTTTAATCTATACAAGTATCAATGTTTCCTAATTTAAGAAATCAACTTGGTTCTGTAACATGAAAATTTTAGCTTACTAAACTATAAAGTGTATGTATGCCTTTCTCACTGGCAGATTTAAGCTTATCTTGGTACAACTTTCTATTGCTTACCACTTCATTAAAATTTTCAGGATGAACTTGTTATAACTAAAAAAGTGTAAGACACAGGCTGAAGGGTTGCAGGAGCTTCCTGAATAATGTAAAAATGCAAAATTTCAGACAAATGTCCTTTCTCATTTTTGAGTTGCAATTACTACTCCAATGACCTGATCTTATTTTAAACCCTGAGATAGCAAAATCTCATTATTTCTAACATAGCAGGAGTTATAAGGATCCCCCCCCACCAATATTACAGAAAATGTTGTCAAATAGAGCTTAATTTGAAGGCCATAAAAAAGACAGTCCTGTACTCAGGACTAAACTCAGTAGACTGACAGCATCATTGGATGAAAGGCTGCTAGAGAATAATGCTGCTTCGTACCAAAGGCTCGCCTCAGATTACCTACTGACTGTAAACGCTGCTTCACAGGCAGGGCTCAAATAATTCAGCACCACTAACAGTGAGCCAGCCACACTCTGCAGGCTTCCAGATGTGACATGATGCCAAGTACATCGTATCACTTATACAACATTCCCTCCAGAAATGCTTCACCTAAATCGACAGGAGCTTCCAGACCTAATTTCCAGCTGAAAGGAACATACAGGTGATGTGGGAGCAAGTGAGAAGTCTCTACGAGAAAAATGGGTCGCACTCTTCAAAAGGGCAATGTCATAAGAAAGAAAAAAGGTAGGCATACTGCTCTAGATTAAAAGAGACTAAAAGAAGACAAACCCTGAATGAGAAGTTCAGAGGGCAAGACTACAGATGACATTTAAAACAAGGGGGGAGATTTAACAGACACTACGTAGTAGATGACACGTTACGGAGCTATCATCAACCTTCAAAAGCACAGTAATGGCACTGCGGTTATGCACGAGAATATACTCATTCTTAGGAAATGCAGGCAGAAAGTTCCACAAGTAGGTTGTCATAATGTCTGCAAGTGGATTTCAAATAGTACAGGGAAAGAAAGCGGATAAAGTGCAAATGACAAAGTATTAATTTCCGAAGCTAAGCAAGATAATATTAACGTTATTCTTTAAACTTTTATTTCAATTTAAAATTTTTCATAAGAAGAAGTTGGGGAACAGAAGATCCAGGATTTCCTTTTGCTAAGTCCATCTGTACTAAACAGCTAAGAATCCAGGCATGGAATTTTGCTAACAATCTTTAAAATGTGTCATGAATTTAGTTTTGAAACTCCAAATTCTCATTCTGTAATGATCTCAAAGGGGATCACAAGATTCTCACAAACTATTTCACAGGAAAACAAGCATCCCGAAGCACCTGCTGTGTGTCACACACTGCTATACATGCACCAACTCAGACTCTACACAACCACCATGAGGCACGTACTACAACCGTTCCATTTTGGAAATTAAAAAACTGTGGCACAGAAATTAAAACAGCTTCATGTGGTCATACAGACTGCAAGTAGCAAGCACTGCTGGGATCAATTTCCTATTTTAAAAATAAACATAGGTTGCAGCCATAAAGGAAAAGGGCACCACAAAAGTCAATGACACCGTATTCTGTCCCCAAAAAAGTAAGAAGTGAGTATTTCAACATTTCAGATATAAAAGTAATAAACACAAAGCAGAAGTTACGTATCAAAATATTTGCTGCCAGCTGCTATCACCAAACAGTGCAATTCATAAAAAGAAAATAAATCGCTAAGGCTGCTGAAGAAAAAGTGCTAACTTCCAAAGAAGTGTCAACCCCTGGATCACTAACGGAAAAGCACACAGGAGTATGAACGGCCAGACACGCCGGGCGTGAGCTGAAGCCTGGGCTGCCAACAAGGGTCTCAGAGCTGCTGCCACACAGGGTCCGACGTGGCGGGAGGGACGCGCGCTATCACCAGTTTTCCTGTGAAAAACGACATACGGCTATAATCTGAATAGGACCCGGATATTAAACAAGACATAATTTTCTTAATTATCATATTGTAGTTGCATAGAAAAAAATCCTCATTTTAAGAAGTGTCATGATGCCTGCAATTCACTGCAACTTTCCAATG